TGCCCAACTGAGCCGGTTCCCCCAGAGCTAAAATGCTCTAATGCTGGGGAGGGTGGGGCTGGGAGGTGGACCCTGAAGTTTAACCAATCAGCGGCGCGAACGCGGGAATCGCCCAATTAGTCGTACAGTTGGAGAGGAGGGCGTGGCTTCCGCATTTGGCGGGGCCTTTGTCTCTACTCTTGCGGGAGCTTGGGATCCCTCTCTGCTGTTCTGAATCCTCCACCTCCGGAGTCCCCGGTGACTTTGTCACAGCCTCTGTTGCCTTGTGATTTGCAGATTGTGGGAGAGGCACAGCTAAGATGCCAGGACATCCTGGAAACTGGGAAACGGTGGGTGTGCAGGGTTGGACATCCCGAGGCGGGAGAGCGGACTGTGAAACCGGCTGGACCGGCCTCCACACAGTCCGCTTTGGGGTCGCCCGCCTGAGTCCCCGCTGGTGCAGCTCCGCCCCAGGCCCCTCTGGCTGCAAGATGGCGGCTGGGCCCGCAGCCCCGCGTCCCGCCTGTCCCTGCACGGCGCGCTGTCTGGAGCTCTCTGGGCAGCTCTGCACCCGCGGCCGCGGGCACTTCCCAGATTGTTCACGGATGACAGGCGGGTCATCAGGGCAGAATCTCCTATCGGTGTGTGCGTGGGAGGGGCTGCGGTTCGTGAGGTCTCCAGTCTTTCCTGATCATTATTATTTTTTGTGAGACAGAGTCTCGCTCTTGTCTCCAGGCTGGAGTGCAGTGGCGCGATCTCGGTTCACTCCTACGTCCCCCTCCCGGGTTCAAGCAATTCTCGTGCTTCAGCCTCCAGGTATCTGGGATTACAGGCACCCTGATCTCGAACTCCTGACCTGGTGATCTGCCCACCTCAGCCTCCCAAAGTGCTGGGATTACAGGCGTGAGTCACCTGTAATCCCACGGGCCCTGAGGTGGGGTCTTTTTATGTTAGCCAGATTGGTCTTGAATTCCTGGAACAAGCAATCCTTCTGCCTCAACCTCCCCCAATTTTATATTATTATTATTACAGGTGTAAGCCACCATGGTTGGCATACTTCTCTATTATATTTCTTACTATGTTTCATTGAAATTTTCAGTTATCTATTTATGTCTATTCACAGTGTCAGGAGTTTGAGACCACCTGCCAACATGGTGAAACTCCTGTTTCTACTAAGAATACAAAAAACTAGCTGGGTGTGGTGGCAGGCACCTGTGATCCCAGCTAATCTAGAGGCTGAGACAGGAGAATTGCTTAAACTCGGGAGACAGAGGTTGTCATGAGCGGAGATCATGCTACTGCACTCCAGCTGGGGCGAAAAGTGCAAGACTCAGTCTCCGGAAAAAAAAAAAAAAGGCCTGATGCGGTGATTTACCCAGTAATCCCAGCACTTTGGGAGGCTGAGGCAGGGGATCACGAGGTCAGGAGTTCGAGACCAGCATGGCCAATATGGTGAAACCCACGTCTCTACTAAAAATACAAAAATTAGCCAGGCATGGTGGTGCGCACCTGTAGTCCCACCTACTTGGGAGGCCGAAGCAGGAGAATTGCTTAAACCCGGGAGGCGGAGGTTTCAGCGAGCTGAGATTGTGCTACAGCACTCCAGCCTCGGTGACAGTAAGCCTCTGTCTCAAGAAGAAAACAAAATTGCAAAACATGTATGAAAATCTAGAGTGGTCAAAAATGACAAATTTGGTGGATTTATTTATAAAGTTTTATTAAAATTAGCTTTGTATACATAATACACTAATATAAAAGTTAAAGTTGATTTTCTCTGGAACAAAAATTTTGTGTTTTATTAATATGACAAAGTAAAATATTTTTGTTCACCTTTTGAAGAAATCTGAAAAACGAAAGTAGAGAGATTTTTTTCTCATGCTATCTTTCTCAAGTGTTTTGATTAGAAAAATTAATCTCCTATATCAAGCTGTAAATGGTTTTGCTTTTTAAAAATCCTTTTATTATCACTTTGGCTAAGTGAATGACTTTTTTTTTTTTTTTTTTTTTTAGGACAGTTTTTTGCTCTTGCTACTCAGGCTGGAGTGCAATGGTGCGATCTCGGCTCACTGCAACCTCCGCCTCCTGGGATCAGGCAATTCTCCTGCCTCGGCCTCCCAAAGTGATGGGTTATAGGCGTGAGTCACTACACCCAGCCAGCAGGGTAAATTTTTATCAGTGAATATCTCTGTTGAAATCCTCTTATCTTGATTTCTGAGTTTAATGCTAAATTTTATGAGATGAAATTTGGTACTGCCTAGAAATTTTCCATATGACTAATTGTTTGCTGCATTTTTTTTTTTTTTTTTTTTAATAGAGACGGGGCTTCACCAGCTTGGCCAGGCTGGTTTTGAACTCCTGACCTCGTGAGCCACCACACCCAGCCTGCTGTAAAATTTTTTATGGAATTAATAAAATAATGCGTTTCTTTTCTGAAAGAAATATATACTTTTGCTTTTCTCATTAAGGTATAAAATGTTAAGCACCTTAAAATTTTCTTCCCTTATGTGAACACTTTGTTTGAGTAATTTCACTGGATTTTTCAAACACTTACTTTCAAAAACCAAGTGAGTAACTATAACATGGAAATTAAAGTTTGAGCCCAGTGACTCAGAGCTAAGGCTCATATTAAGCCTGCAAAAGGGTGTTATTGAATGTCCAGTTCGTTTTTTCTGGAGAGCCTCCCCTGCAGATGTCTCGGCCTTCTCACTCCAATCACAGAAGAAGCCTTTCTGCTAAGAGAAGCTGCAGAGTCCTTAACAGATGCAGTTAAGGTTAAGACAAAAGGGGCCTGGTAGGGTCTTACTGACGATGAAGTTATTTCTTCAAGGCAGCTGCTAGACTTTGTAGTATGTAACAGTTACATGGAATTTCAGACCGCATTGTGGTGGCTCATACCTGTAAATTCCCACACTTTGTCAGGCCGAGGCAAGTACATCACCTGAGGTCAAAAATTTGAGACCAGCCTGACTAATATGATAAAACCCCATCTCTACTAAAAATATAAAAATTAGCTGGGCATATTGGTGGGTGCCTGTAACACCAGTTGTTTGAGAGATTGAGACAGGAGAGATGCTTGAACATGGGAGACAGAGGTTGCAGTGAGCCAACACAGTGTCACTGCACTCCAGCCTGGGCAACAGAGTAAGGCTCCATCTCAAAAAGACAAAAAAAAAAAGAATTCCAGAGCCTAGTGCAGTGGCTCAAGTCTGTAATCCCAGCACTTTGGGAGGCAGGTGGATCACCTGAGGTCAGCAGTTCAAAAACAGCCTGACATATACAGTCAAACCTTGTCTCTATTGAAAATATAAAAATTAGCTGGGCAGGGTGACATGCGCCTGTAGTCCCAGGTACTCAGTAGGCTGAAACAGAAGAAGTGATTGAAGTGGGGAGATGGAGGTTGCAGTGAGTGGAGATTGTGCCACTGCACTCCAGCCTGGCTGATAGAGCGAGACTCTGTCTCCAAAAAAAAAAAAAAGATTGAATTCAAAAGAGGATTGAAACACGAGGAATACCAAGTATATAAACTTTAAGGAATGCAATCTTAGATAGGAAGAACTGTTTTTTTCTTTTCATAAAGCAGAGCCTAAAGCCGGGCGCGGTGGCTCACGCCTGTAATCCCAACACTTTGGGAGGCCGAGGCGGGTGGATCACGAGGTCAAGAGATCGAGACCATCCTGGTCAACATGGTGAAACCCCGTATCTACTAAAAATACAAAAAATTAGCTGGGCATGGTGGCGCGTGCCTGTAATCCCAGCTACTCGGGAGGCTGAAGCAGGAGAATTGCCTGAACCCACGAGGCGGAGGTTGCGGTGAGCCGAGATCGTGCCATTGCACTCCAGCCTGGGTAACAAGAGCGAAACTCCATCTCAAAAAAAAATAAATAAATAAAATAAATTTTAAAAAGATGGAGAACATGTAATGTTGAGGTTTTATCTGTGCTTTCCATTAGCTCTATGCAGAACAGGATTAAGAAAATGCTTATTTAAACAGGATGGCATTTATTAACCTGAAAGTTCTGAAAAAATATTATTGAGAGATACCTGCTCTCTAGGGTAAGAAAGAAAGATTACTTTAAATTGTTATTTAAAATTACAGAACATAAAAGATATCTGCATCTTGACCTTTGCATGAAGCTGATTTTTTCATATGATTAAATTCAGACTATAATTTAATTTTTGAGAAGCAATATCTCAGCAGTGATGCTTGTTCTTCAGTGTGCATCGGCACGTCATAAAACTTTGTCCTCGTGCCGTTGATTTTAAAATTTACTTAAGGAGCTCTCTGAAATATTTATTTCGCCTTAGAGTTACTTTTTTTCCTCATTATTAAATATCTTTATATAGCTAAAGAAAAGCTGTGCATAAACCATCATATTTAATCTCTCAGCTGCTTTTCTTTCTTAGTTTTCTTTGTAGATCTCTGTCTTTGGAAAATGAAGTAGTTTGTTTACAGGTCAGAAAAATTGGGTAAAACACAGGTTCTTCCACTTACTGGATGTTTGACAAAATATTCTTTTTGGGCCAAACGCATTGGCATTACTAGTGAGCTTGTTAGATATTCAGAAACTTAAACTTTATTTTAGATCTTCTGGAAAAAAATAAAACCTGCATAAGATCTCCAGTTTTGATTTTATGCATGAAAACTTAAGAGGTGCTGTCTAACTCAACATGTCTTTTTTGTCTGAAATATTATCAACTCATTCTTTGTAATGCAAATATAGCACTAAAAATGTACATGTTTGTGTTTATGATTTCGTTTTGTACTTTATTATTCATAGAAGTATCATATATACACTGGTGTTGTTTATACCATTCTCTTCTCTCTGAGTTAGAGAATACATTAGAGAATATTTCTGTCTTAAAAATTGTTGGATAATTTTAGTTATTCCTCTAAGTCAGAATCAATTTTCTTTACTCTCATTTAACCGTAATTTAAATGATAAATTCTGCCCATGGACACTTGTAAATCTGTGTGTGTGTGTGTGTGTGTGTGTGTGTGTGTGTGTTTGTGTGTTTTTCAGGGGCCGTTGACATTTAGAGATGTGGCCATAGAATTCTCTCTGGAGGAGTGGCAATGCCTGGACACAGCACAGCAGGATTTGTATAGGAAAGTGATGTTAGAGAACTACAGAAACCTGGTCTTCTTGGGTGAGAATAACTTTAATACACAATTCCTATTATACCCTAAAGGTTTTATTTCTCTCATTTTGTAGAAATAATTTTTGGTAATTTATGCTTTCCATAAATGAATTTTTTTTTAAGGCGGGGTTTCACCATCTTGGCCAGGCTGGTCTTGAACTCCTGACCTCAGGTGATGAAACCACCTTGGCCTCCCAAAGTGCTGGGATTACAGGCATGAGCCACCACACCTGGCCTCCATAAATGAATTTCTAATCCTTGTTTTCAAAATATCTTGAAGAATTGTCCATGTAGAAAAAAACTTCTTTAAGGTGTTTTATCTTGGCCTCAGAACTTTTTACATTCTGAGCTGGTGTGTATCCTTCACTCTAGAGTAGTGGTAATTTCAGAAATTTAGTGATATAAAGTGTTGTTGATCCTTAAAATTTATTTGCCACCATTAATTTTTTTTTTTTTTGAGATGGAGTTTTGCTGCTGTTACCCAGAGTGGAGTGCAATGGCACGATCTCGGCTCACCACAACTTTCGCCTTCTGGGTTCAAGCAATTCTCCCGCCTCAGCCTCCCGAGTAGCTGGAACTACAGACACACACCACCATGCCCAGCTAATTTTTGTATTTTTAGTAGAGATGGGGTTTCACCTTGTTGACAGGATGGTCTCGATCTCTTGATCTCGTGATCCACCCGCCTCGGCCTCCCAAAGTGCTGGGATTATAGGTGTGAGCCACCGTGCCCGACCCGCCACCACTAATTTTTGACTCATGAGTATTGAGCAGTGAAATTAAGAACCTACAAATTTAGCTGGGCGCGGTGGCTCACGTCTGTAATCCCAGCACTTTAAGAGGCCGAGGCAGGTGGATCACGAGGTCAAGAGATCGAGACCATCCTGGTCAACATGGTGAAACCCCGTCTCTACTAAAAATACAAAAATTAGCTGGGCATGGTGGCATGTGCCTGTAATCCCAGCTACTCGGGAGGCTGAGGCAGGAGAATTGCCTGAACCCAGGAGGTGGAGGTTGCGGTGAGCCGAGATCGTGCCGTTGCTCACTCCAGCCTGGGTAACAAAAGCGAAACTCTTTCTCAAAAAAAAAAAAAAGAACCTACAAATTTAAAATGTTTTCTAAATGTTAGGAACTTTCTGTCATTAAATAGTATTTTGCGAATAATTTTCTGGAATATTCTATGACATCCTCTTTACCTAGCAGAGTACTAGGTTGGTAATTAGAGAATATGAGCCAGATTCATGTTACTTATTTTTAATAAAGCAGGTATTGCTGTCTCTAAGGCAGATCTGGTCACCTGTCTGCAGCAAGGAAAAGATCCGTGGAACATAAAGAGACACAGTATGGCAGCCACACCCCCAGGTAGGTGACAGTGAATAAAACAGTGGACATAGTTGAAAGATTGGAAGAAAAAAAATAGTTTTGGGGAAGCCTGAGGTGTTTGTTTTGTTGCTGTTGTTCTCACATAGCGCCGGGTTCCCTCTTACGCTTTTACAATTTCTGCAGATTGTACTTTCCCTTCACTGATCTTTCTTTAAGCTCACAGTGAGAGCCAAGGTCTTCTTCATGCCTCTAAGACACAGGCACAATCTGACTGCTTTTTTTTTTTTTTAATTCTTTAACTCACTCAGCATATCTTTGATGCAAACTGACTGCTTTTTTATTGTTTTTGGGGAAACAATGATTCTTTATGATTTTGAGAAATTTTCTTTTTTTTTTTTTTTTGAGACGGAGTGTTTCGCTCTTGTTACCCAGGCTGGAGTGCAATGGCGCGATCTCAGCTCACCGCAGTCTCCGCCTCCTGGGTTCAGGCAATTCTCCTGCCTCAGCCTCCTGAGTAGCTGGGATTACAGGCACACGCCACCGTGCCCAGCTAAGTTTTTGTATTTTCAGTAGAGTCGGGGTTTCACCATGTTGAGCAGGATGGTCTCGATCTCTTGACCTGGTGATCCACCCGCATCGGCCTCCCAAAGTGCTGGGATTACAGGCTTGAGCCACCGCGCCCGGCCTTTAGTTCTCTTTTTTGCATCATGTCTAAAATGTGTGAGAGTGGTGATCTCTGCTCCTTTTTTTCTTTTTCTTTCTTTTTTTTTTTTTTTAAAGATGGGGTTTCACCATGTTGGTCAGGCTGGTCTTGAACTCCCGACCTCAGGTAATCCGCCCGCCTTGGCCTCCAAACTGCCAGGCGTGAGCTACCATGCCCGGCCTCCTTTTTTTTTTTTTTTTTTTGATAGAGTCTCACTCTGTCTCCCAGGCTGGAGTGCTGTGGTGCTATCTTAGCTCACCACAATCTCTGTCTCCCGGGTTCAAGCAATTCTCCTGTCTGAGCCCCCCAAGTAGCTGGAATTACAGGCATGTGCCACGATACCCAGCTAATTTTGTATTTTTAAGAGATGGGGCTTCTCCATGTTGGTCAGTTTAGTCTCAAACTCCTGACTCAGGTGATTCAGCCACCTTGGCCTCCCAAATTGCTGAGATTACAGGCATCAGCCACCATGCGCAGCCGCTACTGTTTTTATGTTAATTATCTGCACGTTCCATCTGGTTTTTATTACTATATTCATGAAAAATAGTTTGAAATATAATATGAAATTATAAAGTATGATGTCTGCATTGTTCTTTTTTCTCAGGAGTGCTTTGACTATTTGAAGTTTATTGTAGTTTTCTGTAAATTTTAGAATTGTAGGTTTTATTATTGTAAAAAGAAATGCCACTGGAATTTTGATAGGAAGTTGGCTAAATCTTTAGATTACTTTAGAGAATATGGTACTTTAGCCATATTTATTCTTTAAATTCAGAAATATAAAATATTTTAAAATTTGTGTCTTCTCTAATTTCTTGAGGTTTTTTTTTTTGAAACAAAGTTTTGCTCTTTTTGCCCAGGCTGGAGTACAGTGGAGCAATCTTGGCTCACTGTAACCTCCAGCTCCCAGGTTCAAGCAGTTCTCCTGCCTCAGTCCCCTGGGTAGCTGGGACTACAGGAACCCACCACCATCCCCTGCCAATTTCTGTCATTTTTAGTAAAGACAGGGTTTCACCATGTTGGTCAGGCTGGTGTGGAACCCCTGACTTCAGGTGACACCCCCACTTCGACCACCCGAAGTGCTGAGATTACAGGGGTGAGCCACCTCGCCCAGCCTCTTTTATTGATTTATACCTTTCATTGTAAAGATGTTTCACCTCTTTGGTTAAATTCTTAGAATTTCATTATTTTAATTATTTTTGAAAGTATTGTTTTCTTGGCTGGAACTATGCCTCAGGCCTATAATCCCAGCGCTTTTGGAGGCCAAGGCAGGTGGATCACTTGAGTTCAGGAGTTCGAGACCAGTCTTGCCTATATGGGCTCTACTGAAAACATAAAAATTTAACGAGGTTTGATGGTAGGCACCTGTAATCCCAGCTACTGAGGGGTCTGAAGCAGGAGAATTGCTTGAATACAAGAGGCAGAGGTTGTAGTGAGCCTAGATCGTGCTATTGCACTCCAGCCTGGGCTACAGAGCGAGACTCGGTTTCAAAAAAAAAAATAGATTTTTAATTTGTATTGTATCTGATAGCTTGTTTTAAGCTTATCAAAAAACAACTTGTACTTTTATGTTAATTTTATTTTTTGTTGATTTACTGAGTATATTTATTAGTTTAGGCAAATTTCGATGTGCTGTGGTTTTTTATGTATAAAATTATTCCACAGAAAGCAACTTTTTACTTATTTGTCTTCAATTTCAATGGCTTTTAAAAAATGATTTTTATTCATTATTCTGCCTTTTTTTTAAGTCTTTGCGTACTTTATTGTTTTTGGAGATTTCATATACTTTGGGGGTTGCTGTTTCTATTACCTCAAAAATGGAATGAAAGGCGGGGCGCGGTGACTCACACCTATAATCCCAGCACTTTGGGAGTCCGAGGCGGGTGGATCACGAGGTCAAGAGATCGAGACCATCCTGGTCAATAAGGTGAAACCCCGTCTCTACTAAAAATACAAAAATTAGCTGGGCATGGTGGTAGGCACCTGTAGTCCCAGCTACTCGGGAGGCTGAGGCAGGAGAATTGCTTGAACCCAGGAGGCAGAGGTTGAGGTGAGCTGAGAGCGTGCCCTTGCACTCCAGCCTGGGTAACAAGAGTGAAACTCCGTCTCAAAAAAAAAAAAAAAAAAAATGGAATGAAAAATTCTTAAAAAACATTAAATCTGAGGCCCGAGCTTGCTGTAGTGGGGCTTGCCGCGCACCGGGGCTGGCTTCCTGCCGTGTCCTGCGCTCCAGCTTCACCCACTTCCCCTTGCCAGTGGGCTGGGGGCGGAGAAGACCTGCTGGAGCCATGGAGGACGAGGTGATCCGCTTTGCCAAGAAGACGGACAAGATGGTGCAGAAGAAGAACGCGTTTTAGGCATCAGGCTGGTGAAATGCAAAACTCCTGGATCTCATTTTTGAAGAGGGCTAAACATCCGCCTCGTTATCTCAACTACGCTACATGTTTGCTGAGCGATTAAAGAGGCGCGGTGGCTCACACCTGTAATCCCAGCACTTGGGGAGGCCAAGTCGGGTGGATCACGAGGTCAAGAGATCGAGACCATCCTGGTCAACATGGTGTGACACCCAGTCTCTACTAAAAATACAAAAATTAGTTGGGCATGGTGGTGCATACCTGTAATCCCAGCTACTCGGGAGGCTGAGGCAGAAGAATAGCCTGAACCCAGGAGGTGGAGGTTACGGTGAGCCGAGATCGTGCCATTGCACTCCAGCCTCAGTTACGAGAGCGAAACTCCGTCTCAAAAATAAATAAATAAAAATAAAAAGGCTGGAGTATTGGATTTGCTAAAGGAGCTTAAGAGTATTCCTATGACCCTGGAATTACCGCAGTCCACAAGAATCGGAATGTCATAAATGCTATTTGCAAGCAGAGTACAGATGAAGAAGTTACATCTTTGGCAAAGTCTCTCATCAAATCCTGGAAAAAGTTATTAGATGGGCCATCAACTGAGAAAGACCTTGACGAAAAGAAAAAAGAACCTGCAATTACATCACAGAACAGCCCCGACGCAAGAGAAGAAAGTACCTCCAGCGCAATGTAAGCAACAGAAAGCATGAGAGAAATACTCGAGATGCTTAGGTTTCATCCTTTCCTCGGGCACCCAGCACTTCTGATTCTGTGCGGTTGAAGTGTAGGGAGACGCTTGCTGCAGCTCTTCAAACGGGAGATGACTACATTGCAATTGGAGCTGATGAGGAAGAATTAGGATCTCAAATTGAAGAAGCTACATATCAAGAACTAAGGATGGCCGGGTGCGGTGGCTCACGCCTATAATCCCAGCACTTTGGGAGGCCGAGGCGGGTGGATCACGAGGTCAAGAGATCGAGACCATCAAACCCCGTGTCTACTAAAAATACAAAAATTAGCTAGGCATGGTGGCCCATGCCTGGAGTCCCAGCTACTCTGGAGGCTGAGGCGGAAGAATTGCTTGAACCCAGGAGGCGGAGTTTGCGATGAGCCGAGATCATGCCATTGCACTCCAGCCTGGGTAACAACAGCGAAACTCCGTCTCAAAAAAAAAAAAAAAAGAAAGAAAGAAGGAATACAGACATGAAATATAAAAATCGAGTACGAAGTAGGATATCAAATCTTAAAAATGCAAAGAATCCAAATTTAAGGAAAAATGTTCTCTGTGGAAATATTCCTCCTGAGTTATTTGCTAGAATGACAGCAGAGGAAATGGCTGGGAATGAGCTGAAAGAGATGTGGAAAAACTTGACCAAAGAAGCCGTCAGAGAGCATCAGATGGCCAAGACTGGTGGGACCCAGACTGACTTGTTCACACGTGGCAAATGTAAAAAGAAGGATTGCACTTACACAGAGGGGCAAACCCGTAGTGCTGATGAACCGATGACATTTGTTGTCTGTAATGAATGTGGAAATCGATGGAAGTTCTGTTGAGTTGGAAGAATTGGCAAAATATCCGGACCATTAAGAAAATGAATTTTAGGCTGGGCGTGGTGGCTCAAGCCTGTAATCCCAGCACTTTGGGAGGCCGAGACGGGTGGATCACGAGTTCGAGAGATCGAGACCATCCGGGCAACATGGTGAAACCCCGTCTCTACTAAAAATACAAAAAATTAGCTGGGCATGGTGGTGCGTGCCTGTAATCCCAGCTGCTCAGGAGGCTGAGGCAGGAGAATTGCCTGAACCCAGGAGGAGGAGGTTGCGGTGAGCCGAGATCGCACCATTGCACTCCAGCCTGGGTAACAAGAGCGAAACTCCGTCTCAAAAAAAAAAAGAAAAGAAAATGGATTTTGTAATTAGCTTTAAACTAGGCCAAGCTGCTCGTTTTCCTGCAAATCAGATTTTTAAAGCAGCTACATCCCTTGGGTTAG